GCTACTACCAAACTAGGCTGTGTTATAGTGAACTTTCCTAAGAGAAATGGCAACGTGATAACTACTACCAAAGCTAGGTAAGTTGTGTGACAGCTACTACCAAACTAGGCTGTGTTATAGTGAACTTTCCTTAGAGAAATGGCAACGTGATAACTACTACCAAAGCTAGGTAAGTTGTGTGACAGCTACTACCAAACTAGGCTGTGTTATAGTGAACTTTCCTTAGAGAAATGGCAACGTGATGACTACTACCAAAGCTAGGTAAGTTGTGTGACAGCTATTACCAAACTAGGCTGTGTTATAGTGAACTTTCCTTAGAGAAATGGCTACGTGATGACTACCTACCAAAGCTAGGTAAGTTGTGTGACAGCTACTACCAAACTAGGCTGTGTTATAGTAAACTTTCCTTAGAGAAATGGCTACGTGATGACTACTACCAAAGCTAGGTAAGTTGTGTGACAGCTACTACCAAACTAGGCTGTATTGTAGTGAACTTTCCTTAGAGAAATGGCTACGTGATAATTACATCCAAAGCTAGGTAAGATGTGTTACAGTAATTTTGTTTTAATATGGTTGCATTGTGATTAATATCAGATCATATTCATCCATGTTACTTGGACAATACTTAGGATCCAAATCACAATTCAAGAAACTCTTTCGCACGAGCTTGTTCATATTGTACACCATGAACTGAATATGAGCGAGAAAGGTAGAGTTAGTTAAATAATTGCCCCCCCAGTGGCACAGCGGTATGTCTGCGTACTTACAACACTAGAAACCGGGTTTCGATACCCGTGGTGGGCAGAGCACAGATAGCCCATTGTGTAGCTTTGTGCTAAATTAGAAACAAACAAACAGTTAAATAATCGATACTAACATTTTGAAACAACAGAAACTATCTTCAATAAATCTATAAAGCAACAAAGCGTATACATAAATTACTGGAGAGGGGGTAGTCGTAAATTAATTACATTTTCTGACGGTCAATAAAAACGCCTTAAAATATTATTGAAAAATTGTACACAATAACAAGTACTGTATGTACAAAATACAAATTAAATTGTTTGTTGTGCACTAAAAAGTCGCATTTTCACATATGTTTACTTCGTTATGCACACTTGAAGGTTCCGACATCTATGAGCCTTTGAAACTTGTGTGTGTGGGAAGAAACACTCCAGTTATCTAACCAGTAGTAGGATTTATTTGATGGAAAGAGTTAGATCATGTCATCTATGAGCCTTTGAAACTTGTGTGTGTGGGAAGAAACACTCCAGTTATCTAACCAGTAGTAGGATTTATTTGATGGCAAGAGTTAGATATTTAATATTCTTGTCTGAACTTAATGAAATCTGAATAAGTTTTAAACTCTTCTGGGTATCATGGCAACAAGGCCAACTAATCCAAAACAAAAACAAAAAAAAACAATAACACTACTAATGGATTTGTTTTCTTCAGATCAGGCATCCCGGACGAGCCAACCGTTTTTTACACCCTGATGAGAGGAAGCAATGAACAAACAAACAGCAAGGATACGTTCTATCTGACTCCTAGACAAGGAAGCAACAACGAGATGTGGGCTGATATAATGGTTAACAATCCCTTAGACTACGAACGTCTACAGCAGTATAATTTGACAGTACGAGTTGAGGTGAGTGATATTTTTTAACTTATCGCTGACCTACCAAATCCAGCAACAAAAAACGAAATCTGCGTTAATATTACGAAAGGAAGGGAGATTTTACACCCTAATAAGAAAATAAATACGTTTTGCATCATTATGCTTACGAGGGTGTAAGATAACGTCAACGAACCTAAATTGTTTTTTTTTTTACTTATGTTCTTAAACTACGTTGCTGTAGAGCTGTGCATCCATGCATGCACATACATTTTTGTGTTGTTAACTGAACTGTTATATCAGGTCTAGTGTGGTGCAGCATACGTAATAATAGAAGAGAATTTTCATCGTTCGACCGTACAAGAGTTTGACATATCAAGCTTATGATAGATTTTATGAAGCAAAAGACAATGGTGGTTTCATTAACGTTTAATGCCTAAAAATAATTACTTAAATGTACTTAAGTGTGGATATTCATTAAAGTGATTAGTTCAAATTTTAAGGTACTTACTAAACAGCTACGAAGAAATTGCATATTGATAATAAGTGAAATACTGTGGGATGAAAAAATACCTACAGTCTCCAATAGAATTATGATAAGAAGGTGAATAAAAAAGAGAGCAGAGCGACATCTAGAGAAACTCACAGAACGAGAAGTTGGTGTCTTTGGACACAATATAAGTTTGAGCAATATACTAATTCATATACATATATATATAATTTAAATATAAAAATATGAGAATTGGTAAGCAAGAGTTTTTAAACTATAATTGAAAACAATAAATAAACAAAACAGATACGAAACGATAGAGATATACTATGAATGCAACAAAACAATGTAAAAGGCGATACATTTCACACAAAATGTGCTTTATAAAGGCGTGGCAAGACTTATGTATTGGATACACCTTGAGTAGGTTATATAGCATTAGCAAATGCAAGATAGGCCTAACAAGAGTTAAGTATATTTTCTACTTGCTACTCCACTGTTATTATTATGTGATCCATCCACATGGAAGTCATTCTTTAAACACAATTAATAATAATTCCAAGGTTTAAAAAATACTTGAATAACCCGGAGAACTATTTAATGACTGGGCAATAAATATGAACGCAGATTAAAACGACGTATAGTGTATTTATTGAGAGCTGTGAATTTGGTTTATAAATATTCTTATCATACATATATATACTAGCTGGAGTACCCATCTCCTGGACGAAAGTTATGTAAATTCATGATTAATGAAAGGTTATCTTAAGACATGAAAAGTTGCTTCCCTTATACTTAATTGTAAAAAACGCCCATACAAACTGCAAAACACAAAATGTGCAACCGAAACATTGCGTGTACCTCCGCATGGACCCAACAAACCTTCACGGCAAATTTGGTGAAGACCCATGAAGAGGGGGCGAAGTAGTGGTAAAAAACACGAAAACGCAAAATGCCCATAAAAACCGCAAAACTGAAAATTTGTATGTAACCCCACATGGACCTAATAAACCTCCATACTAGTTTTGGTGAAACTCCATTAACAACCTGCGAAGTTGTTACCTGGACATACAACAGACAGTACTATTATACATATATATATATATATTTATCAGTATTCGAGAACAGCTGGTATCTACACAAGTAGGAATATTTTTCAAATTACATTAAATTATGCAAAAATCAAATTATGAGTACGGAAGTACGGACGACGTCACCATATGGGCAAGGGAGGTGTGGGTGAAGATAGTACTGTGCATAGCAAAGGGGAAGATACTTGGGGAATGGATCTGTCATCCCTCGGAGCCCTATTTCAGACAGCAGTGTTAATGTGTTAAGGTTTCATTTGTGTATAGACACTTAAAGTACCGATATTGTCATTCTGTCAAGTAGGAACCTGGGAGCACTACTACTGAGTTTTAATACTTGTTCCCAATACCAAGAATTTGTATCTAAGTGTATTTAAACCTGATATATGTTACTAGATAAGTCGACCAGTTTGTCATTTATGATCAGAACATTCGGATCAAAGTGTCTTTTGTATTAGAGGTGTTAGATGTGTATCGTATTGAGTAATAGGTTTAATATTGCACTCTTTGAGACGCCCCCTACGGCTGTTAGATTCGCTCAACTTTTACGTACTAAACCCATTACGTGAGTAGTCAAGGCAGGTCACTTGACTGTTTTAATTACTTTAAAAACGCTGCTGCCTTTACATTTTATAAACGTTTTGCATTTAATTACAAAATATCACAACCAAAAAAATTATATGTATATGTTTCGTACGCAAAGCACGAATTTCCCCCCCTAGTAACTAATTAAAACAATGTTAGAATGGAGTAGAATGGCTTGATAACAGTGTCATAAGTTGCAACTTTTGAGAACATTCCAACTATGTAGGTATGTTTGCTATTCAACTAATAAATACAATTATTTGCAACTTAATAGAAAAATGTTTAATTATCATGTAGATGTTTACGCATTTCCCCTTCTATGTAATTAACTGGAAAACTTTATCAAGGCCCTGATAGATCTGTATAAAACCCTTCAAAGTACAGTACATCAACTATAGGTAAAATAACGTTACTTTCAGAAACTGATCTCACTTATGTAAATATATTTATTAAAAACTCACCAACTTTAAGTATGTAAGGCTAAACTTATTTAAAAGAATGCTTTCGACCTTTTGGCAGCATATGCGGCACTATACGATAGAGAATTACACAATGAAACACCGGGATATCAACTACATAATAAACGGCTATTACTGGTGTTTATTATGTAGTTGACGTTCCGTATTTTCATTGTGCAATTCTGCATCCGATAGTGGCCGTACGTGCTGCCAAAACGGCAAGCGCATTCTTTCAAATAAATCTATTTTTACCAATTTTAAACCAGGTGTTTTCCTAGTGTGCAGTTGATCACAAATTGGGCACCAATAAAAATATTTGTGCAGTTCAAAATGCACCTATATAAGTAAGTTCAAGATGATAAATATTTTATTTTCTTTTGTTTGTAATTAAGCACAAAGCTACTCAATGGGCTATCTGTGCTCTGCTCACCACGGGTATCGAAACCCGGATTCTAGCGTTGTAAGTCCGCAGACATACCGCTGTGCCACTGGGGGGCGGATAAATATTATAAAATATATAAAATTATAAAATTCCAGAGTTAATAAATAAATGTTTTTACTAGAATATTCTTCATTTTTTGGATCATTTGTTAATAAGCCTATATACATGAGGCGCCATATATTAAATAATGATGAAGTTAGAATATAATTTTGCAGTTGAAAAACATCCTTAGGAAAGTCCCGTTTTAAACTGTAAGTTTTTAATTAAGGTTAACAGTTGTATAAGCCCCCCAGTGGCACAGCGGTATGTCTGCGGACTTACAACGCTAGAATCCGGATTTCGATACCCGTGGTGGGCAGAGCACAGATAGCCTGTTGTGTAGCTTTGTGCTTAATTTGAAAACAAAACAAACAGTTGTATACGTATTTTAATAATTTATTTCTTCTTTGTTCAAATATGCTTTGTTTCTAAGCTGGGTGATGAAAATCCGTTCTTGCTCGGTTTCTAAGCTGAAGCATGGGTAGGCCGGACATGATAATAGTCAATGGTCATAATTTGTAGCAGTATTTATTAACAGCTTAAACTGTTTCTTCGCAATAGCCTGTTTACTTACTTTAATAGCAGTGCACTGTGACCATACAACTGAACACTTATTAAATTATAAAAACTACTTATTTAAATCACGTGGGCGAATTTAGGAATAAAGGTCAGTCTCAGCAAGTTAAGTAGCGTTGAAAAGTAAATGTTATACAAATAAAAGTAAAACTTCAAAATGTGCACATGATTTATATTCAGCCATATAATCTACTCATAAAATTTCTAGTACTGTAGTGAGACAACGTGTTAAAAGTACACATACAATATTTTATTGAATATTCTATTTTCAGAATAATGGACATAACATATTAGCTGCGGAATGTACGGTTTACGTCACGCTAGAAGACGTAAACGATGAAATTCCTTTATTTATTGAGACAGAACAGGAAACAGTACTAGAAGGCGTGCCTCCAATGACCAAAGTGACCACTGTGACTGCTGTTGATAAAGATGGGACATATCCAAACAATAAGGTATGGTTTATTAACAATATTAACTTCAGATTAATTTAGTTAGTAGATTTTTTTATAGCACTTTGCTTTGGTGTCTACTTAAGTGGAGGGGGTTGTTTTCTGAGCTGAGAAAGGTTTTGTTTTCATAGAGCTGATACTGATTTGTTTGTTTTTTCTTTTTAAGGCTTAAATGCTTTGGTTAAGACTTGATCTATATTACTTAAGAAACAAATAGTTTTCTGGTGCAACATGGACACTTTAGTGATTTGATTTTATTTGCCTCAGAAGATGTATTAAATTTAGCATAAAAAATAATGTCTAATGGATTTGTGCTGCCATCTATTGATTGTAATGAGAACGTTAACATATTATTGTATAACGAAATTGTAGAAACATAATGCTATAAAATACGATAAAATATTATAATTTGTATTCATGTATTATAATTCAAGGACTCAGCAATATGTGCTAACTTATAGATTTATCATATAAACGAAGGTCATCTATTCAGGAACGAATCTATGTGGTGAGAAAGAAAAGTTTTGGTTATTATCATTATACGACTTTACGAGGGGATAAACTCATATTTCGCATACGTAGTATGCACTAAAATTACACTGAAAGAATATTTACCAAAAAATAATTTTAAAATGTATACAGACGTCATTGAATCTTCGACATCCTGCATACAAAGCGTGTGCTGTGTCACATGAGCAAAAATCCAAAGATGTTTTGATATATACAACATTATTAAGTGAAGTACTATATATATGAGAAGGTTATATGTTTTAAATATGTAAATCCTTTAAATAATACTGTTGTTGTATTATGTAGTTAGACATGACTGAAACAAAAACCTACTAAGCAAAACTTGGAGTTGTATTTGGATTTAAAGTAAAAATGTGTAAAAACATGGAATGAATAACGAAATATATCTCTGAACACAACATTTTTCGTATGAGCACCTTGTCTTTATGGATAATCACCATATTTGACTAAGATCTTGATTTTTTTATCGAACTCTTTATAAAGAGACGTTATACAATAGAGAATTTTTAAAGTTCTGGTTTCAAGAAGTCTAAAAATCAACTGTCTTCGTTTTTCGCTATTTCACTTATTTTTTCTTCGAGAACGGTATGAACTATTTTTTAATCTCTCCTAAAGTATTAACAAAGTATTGGGTCCACAGCCACTAGTAACGCAAATGGTGTAATATTTTATTCCCTTAGAGGATACTTCGTTCTTCGCGCAAAAAGCGCATTTAAAATTTAGTTCTAATTCTCAATTGTTAGGCGCCTGTATTGAGATAGTTGAAAATGTATAATATTTATAAAATAGTGACTTTTTTAAAATTATGGCATCAACAGTTTTAAAGATCAACTGCTCGTTTTTTGGGTTTATTTTTTATTAACTTCTTGTGTGCATATGTGTCTAAATTGATTTTGTATCTCATTTTAAACCTGTAATAATAATTATTATTATATTATTTTGCGCAATGTGTTAGCTGTAGAGCATCGAAAATGAATTAAGTTGTGGCAGTGAGTGTTAAGGTTAATTGGCGTAGATTATATAGCGGGTAAACTCTTGCTTCGTGTACGAAGCATATTTAAACTATAGGCCTAATTATCAACTTTTCGACGCCTTTTGGAATTTGTATTTTGAGATATATTAGCCACGAAAAGGTAAAGTATTAACTTACTGTGTTTCCTGTTACAGAAGTGATTGTCTTTAAAATTAATGTTATAAGCGTCGTAGCTTTGCACTCATAGAATAATGCACGTTAAACGTCGTTCACTTTTGCACACGTATGAACCTAAAAGAACCACTTTACAATTAGTTAATAGGAGTATCGTGTTTTTATGTGAGCTATTACGCATACACGCTCGGTCTGACTGACACACATTGTTCTCTTAAGTATATAGATAACAATGGAAGAAATGTAATTGTGGAGAATTATTGTGTTTTCTGTTCAATAATATCGCATAAAAACCATAGATAAAGAGTAAATTCAAACTATAAACGAAAGAAAATGACAATTATGTCTTAAAAGTTGATGGAAAGCTAAAAGCTTGATAAAATATAAATTGTGGCGAAATATTTCATGATTGTAAGTATTTTATATGGATGAACAGATTTAATAAAATGGTCTTGATGGGTATTAGAAGTATTCAAGTTCAATGGTGGATGTATTTACTCTACCAATAGATTGAATTATTATGAGTATTGCGCCATATTTATTTTAAATATTTTCTATGGAAATATTTTATTAGCATACAATGTTTCTTCTAAATTGGTTTTACTGCTACGAGAAATGCAATTTCATTACTTATATTCAATAATAAGTACATACTAACATTGTCTGTAAAGCTTATGAATCTTCTTTCCACCAGCCTAAATTTTAGAAGCAATTAGAAATATAAGATAGAACACTAAAAGCAAAACATATGACAAACGCGTAATAATTTAAATTTCGTTTTAGCTAATATTTATGGATGTGTTTTATGCATGATTTACATAATTTTATCTTATTGAAATATACTTAGTTTATTCAAGTAATATTTTTAACGTTTATAGTAAATTTTACATAAAACAATGGTGATATTATGTTTGCAAAATGTTAATGTTTATTTGAATTTATCTAAATTATTTTTTACGTGTTTGGAAATTTATTTAAATAGGGGAAAAATATACAATATAATATTGTTAGAAATAATGTCAACTATTTAGAGATACATTTGTAACATTGTCTCCCTTGGAAACAGCTCTGACTGATGCTTGTGTTTAAATTATACCTCAACGAAGCTGTTTGGCATAAATGATGATAATTAAAAGCATGCGTATATAAGAATACAAAATTTAGATATATGAAATTACCCAACGTTTCTATAGCAACGAATCATCATTTTCAAATTCCTGCTAACAGGTTTGTGTGTAAATTATTCGTCTAATTAAAATTAGACAGTTTTTACTTTTGTATTTTTTAGGCATCTGTTTGAATGATTTACATATTTTTACCGTTCCTACGATTAGGCATTTTCATCTATTTCCTAATTAAATTTTATACTATTTCTGTAATTTTCAGGTAACCTATAAAATCGAAGAAGGAGACGATAAATTCTTCACTATTGACAAGGAATTAGGTATAATTTACACAAAGATTGAGTTCGACAGAGAAATTAAACAGGCTTACGCTATTAAAGTATCAGCTGAAGACGGAGCTCTTTCCGATCGACCTCATGAGAAATTTGGTACTGCTAAACCAAATAAAGGTAATATTTCATTTAACTATTATTATTATTATTATTAGAGTACATACTAAACATGAGGGATACTAAAACATTAATTGTAAAAAAAAGTATATATATATAACAAAAACGTTTATGACAACTAAAATAATATAACTATTAAATCTTTTTCAGCATATCTAGTTTTGAATATGTTTGCAAAATTAAATTCTCGTAATACTTCTAACCTCCTGTAATACAGACGCATTTTTCTTAGTGTTTCGCAAATGCGTTATTATTAGTCTAGACCACCAAGCAAGAATTAATGACTCAATATCGTTCTTTTTCTCGTAACTTTCTACCAAAAATTATCATAGGCTATTAAAATTTCTAACCTTTTAAAGTCGTTTCAGTTGGACCAAAAACGTAACTCACATATATGCTTATTAAGTTGCCCAAGATTTAATTTCAATTATTTAGCCATGATTCACCACATTGTGTTTTAAAACAAAATAATCTAACTGAACTCAATCGTTTGTTTGACCTAAAGAAAAAGTGGTGTTAATTATATTGTATTCTGATTACAAACAGCTGAGAGTGACTTCTTAATTTCCTATTCAACATGCATAGTACATGCAACATCAATGTTGTACTGCTTTTACGTCTAATAAAAACAAGCTAATTTGGCCTATCGACTATTCTTATACAAGTCAAAACCATACAGTTAAAATATGTAAGATTGATGTTGTAATATTTTTGTTTTTACACCTAATAGAATCAAGCTAATTGGGCCTACTGGCTATTTTTATACAAGTGAAACCCATACAGATAAGACGTGGAACTTATTTTGTTGAATCAAACAAAAATGGCACTTTTCACATATCAAACTTTAATGATTATTATTTTAAGAAGTAGAAAGGTCCACTTTTCGAAAGCTTCGGGTTATAGGGTTTTTATTAATTTTAAGATCGGGATTATTCTCTATACTTTAACGTGTTAACATGTTCTTTTTTTTAACTACTTAAAATGACGTATATCAGTTATTTTCAGCGTTATAAATGCGAATAGTTAACCCCTCACCTCTGTGTCCAAAGATAAATAAGCGTTCTTTTAGGACGAATTTACATATAAAAGCTCAGGAAGTATGATTAAATACAGAACTAATGAATTAGTGTTTTATACTGATTGTTTTAAATCTAGCCATGTTGAGGCATGTTGATTCATTTCGTGGAAGTCATTGTCTCTAACGTCATGTCCGCCTGTCATGGCGGTCTAGCAACACGGTGAAACTTGTGGAACTATGACGCAATTGTCTCTGATAGCACCATCGTCTCTACCTATCTTCTTCTGCGCGCCATCTAGTGACACTTTGGGGAAGTGTGACATCATCCTCTCTGATGACATCATCGTCTCTACCGCCTCCCTATTGCCTGGCGATTCCTCAATGAGGCGCATTCATGCACACTTACGACAACCTTACTATTGCACTAGTTTGACTTTATCATATAATTATGTTTGACAAAATATTTCATTTTACACATGATACTTTATAGTTTTATCTTACATGAGTTTTACAAGTGTGGACAGTGTTACTATGCTTTCACATATGACTACATCATCAGTGTCTAGATTTAATTATGTTACAATCAAAACCATTATTTTAACAACAATCCTACTTTACATATGATATTTCTCCCCAGTAGCACAGAGGTATGTTTGCGGATTTACAACGCTAGAAACCAGGTTTCGATACCCATGGTGAGAAGAGCACAGATAGCCAATTGTGTAGCTTTGTGCTTACTTCAAAGCAATCAAAAACAAGCCATAGGATTTTAACAAATCTATTATATCACTTTCACAAGTCAATGAGACAACTGTTATAACATGCATGTTATCCATTATTTGAATGAGGCTAATTCATTTTACTACAACTAAAAGTATTAAATGAACAACTTACTGTTTTCCATTTAATTTCTATTAAAATTTCCTTAAACATTGAGACTGTCTAACGTTAAGACACACATATACAATCTGGATACTGATTTCAAGCTAGCTAAACTTTGACTATTAGGAAATACAAAGATCGTTACATAGTCACGTGGGAATGGTAGACAGAGTAAAAAAAAAAAGATATATATAGGAGAGAAATTTTTGGCGTGAAGCAAGTTGGGAACAGTCTGATATGTTTGTTATTCAAGGCCACTGACTGGCTCGATAAACTTTGATTCTAGGCTATATATGTCACATGATTTTACTATAAAAAGAGGCAGAAACTTTTATTAAAATAAAAATCAATTATAATATGTTGTTGCTATCTATATATTTACATTATATTTAATATTGAAAATAATTTGTTCAAATTCTACATAAATTTAATGTTCACTTTACAAAACACTAAATGTGTATTGATGCATTTCAGTTATATATATGATATTTACATAAATATGTGAAACGTATGAGATTTCATTATACACTGATGTCTAATTATTATTTTAAATATCGCATGTTATGATGTTTCGAAAATGTTCTTAAACAGTGTTATTATATATTCAGATGAAATACTGCATAGAATGGGTTGTTGACCTACACATACAGTGCATATATCACTATGTTTAATTTTAACATCTAGTTAATAAACTTTGTAGTAAATCATTTTCTACACAATAAATGTGATTAATCATTATTATAGAATAGCAACATTTACCATTTTCTCATAAATATTTGAGGTCTGATATAACTGAACGTTCTTTTATAGTAGAGATTAACTGACATCACGTGCGTGCTCCAAATTACTGTATCAAGTAGGAACTCCATAAATGTATGTGTGTTCTTTCTAACTGACGTCATCAACATTGAAAGTAAATGATCACAGCTAATGTGCATGTATCCTACCTTTGAAGATTTTAAAAACAAACAAAATCTGTAAAATAACTGTGATAACAATAAAACACTTCTTGACAACATATTTCAATTTTTTGTTTCTTACGATAAAAGACAAGAAAATACACATCTTTTATTTCACGTTTTAAAAATCCATCATGTTGATTGCTATCATTACAAAATAAACTTTGCAACCAAAACAAACTCTTTGTCCACTATACATTAACTCTGACAATGAGAAATGAATTTTGTATGTCACTGAACTTAACAGTCAGAAAAACTAATTTATATATATTATTATACTTTACATAACAATACAGAAAGCTAAATGCACATTCATGAAATTCTCAATATTTGATGGCACAATAGGAAATTATTTTCTTCTTCTAAGTTACTACCTTCTGTTTTGGATCCAGAACTCAGATATTTGTCATTTAAATATAATTTTACAAATATAACATACAAAGATCTATACATAGTATAACTTCTTGCAGGTATAATCGCTTAGATGTGTAAAGAAAGTATCGTCCATCTTACAATTGGTACAGTGTTCTTCAATTTTATCTGAAAGACAAGTTCCTTTGACAAGCTGACATCATAATAACAATTCATATTTACAAATAACACAAACTGAAATATGTATGGATTACCAAGATTAAATTAGTGTACAATTCTTGTTATACTTCCTACTCAGTTAGACTCTCTTACTGACCTGTGTATACATATTTATAAGAATTGATTTAATTTAATTATTCAATTTCTTTTCATTATGAACTATAGTGTTTAAGTATCAAAATGAGAAATCTGTGCACATTAATTCTGCCATTCTGAATTTGATAAAACAAAGAGAACCTTATCAGATCGCATATCAATACCATGATAATAAAATTGATACATAAACAAAATAGTGGGGATATTATGAACACACACAACACGATTCCGTACCTGTAGAAGAACATTTTGTTCAGTTTTGCTCTGTACAGCTACACTAATGTGTGAGATCCACTATTTAAATTCCTCCCATTCAGCTGAAGATTAAGTGATACCATCCTTGGTTGGATGTAGTTTTCCTTTTCCAAATTCCTTGAACTGTCGAATATGAATATTAAAATTATTCTCGTAAGTTGATAAAGTGATGTAACGGTCATTCCCAACAAAATAGATATATCAAGTGCTTTTTCACGTTGTATAATAGTAGAGGAATCTAACTGTTTTAGTGAATATTCTTCACTGCTAGATTTGATCTTTTTCGTCATTTTATTAATGTCAGCAGCATTTCTTTTCTTTTCAACAGACTAAATTATAATATAGAAGATAATTAGTAAACACAGCGACATTATTTATTAATATAATGAATATGACTGAAAACAAACATTATTATGTCAAAAAACACAGAAACTAGATTTATAAGCAAAGAAATATATATAATGATATACTTACATTCTTTCTTCCATGTAATAGAACTGCATCAGTCTGATTACTAGTGGTGAAAGAGACAGGGTATTTAAATTTTAAAAGTGACCCAGATTTGACAGAACTTAAGATTGTTTGTTTTTGGCAGATATTAAAAATTAGAATATGTCTTAAACTTGTAACTGAACTGATCAACACTAATCAGAAACAGCTAACTCTGTCGCCATTCAAGTACATGTAAATATATCTCGTTGTATCGTGTAATGAAATAGAAAATCTCATACATTTTACATGTTGATTATTTACTTAAATTCAGTGAGACACTGTGGATGCCATTGTCTTTGACGTCATGTCCGTCTGTCATGGCAGTCTAGCAACGCGTCCCTCTGGTAACATCATTGCATAGCGCCAGCTCCCTCTGGTTCCACTTCCTGGAACTATGACGTAATCTTTTCTGACGTTCTGTTGTCATATCCGTCTGTCCTGGCATTCTAGCAATGGACCCCTAGCAATTTGTCCTCTGGTGACATTCCGTGAAACTATGACGTAATCGTCTCTGATGACATCATCGCCTCTACACCTCTCCTACTGTGCGTCATCTAATGACACTTTCTGGAACTAAGACATCGTCGTCGTCTGTACTCCACCCTTATTGCCTGGTGACCCTCTACTGAGGCTGCATCCTTTGGACACAGGGGTGAGGGGGTAACTACTAATGCTTCCAGTTTAACTAAAAGTTATTTTACTTATGA